GTGGGAACCAAAAACCATCCAGATTAGAAATCTTATAACTGGAGTTTTCTCTATATTCTTTGGTTTGATAGATGTTTGCTCTTCAAAGGAGCATTATATATTTTACAAACTCCAGCACTAATATGTGAAATGAAAATTAGAACCCCCCACAGCTGCAAAAATTGTGATATATAGGCTTTGAAGAGTGGCTATTCTTGTTGTTCATTCGTTCAGTCGTCTCCGACTCTTCGTGACCTCATGGACCAGCCCACGCCAGAGCTCCCTGTCGGCCGTTACCACCCCCAGCTCCCTCAAGGTCAGTCCAGTCACTTCAAGGATGCCATCCATCCATCTTGCCCTTGGTCGGCCCCTCTTCCTTTTGCCTTCCACTTTCCCCAGCATAATTTTCTTCTCTAGGCTTTCCTGTCTCCTCATGATGTGGCCAAAGTACTTCAACTTTGTCTATTATCCTTCCCTCCAATGAGCAGTCGGGCTTTATTTCCTGGAGGATGGACTGGTTGGATCTTCTCGCAGTCCAAGGCACTCTCAGAACTTTCCTCCAACACCACAGCTCAAAAGCATCGATCTTCCTTCGCTCAGCCTTCCCTAAGGCCCAGCTCTCACATCCGTAGGTTACTACAGGGAATACCATGGCTTTGACTAGGCGGATCTTTGTTGCCAGTCTGATGTCTCTACTCTTTACTATTTTATCGAGATTGGACATTGCTCTCCTCCCAAGAAGTAAGCGTCTTCTGATTTCCTGGCTACAGTCTGCATCTGCAGTAATCTTTGCACCTAGAAATAAAAGTCTGTCACGGCCTCCACGGTTTCTCCCTCTATTTTCCAGTTGTCAATCATTCTTGTTGCCATAATCTTGGTTTTTTTGACGTTTAGCTGCAACCCGGCTTTTGCGCTTTCTTCTTTCACCTTACAGGGCTAGAATTGAAAGAACGTGTGTAAATACACCTTCCATCAGCAATAACTGCATTAAAGATATTGAAGCAATTTCTTAAAGAGACTTCAAGCTTTGTGCATGTCAATAATATTATTGCAAAGTTAAATTTGATAGAATGCTATAGTTTAGGTCTTCCTGCTTCATTTGAATGGTAGAAGCCAATCAAATACACTTTGAAGATAATGCTGGCAAATTCAGATAAATTTAAATCACTGAATTTCAAGCCATTGCAGGGTTTCTAAGTGAACCAATAGATTGGGCATATACCATGGGGAAACATTTGAATTAAATAAATGCTCGGAACCAAATGACAGAGTTGAGAAAAATTCCTAGTTCTAACATTTTTTTTTCAACTGGAAGAGGTTAAAGTGTTTAAAGTAGATCTCTTATATTCAGTGGATTAGAGCAGTGGTTTCCAACCTGTGATCTGTAGACCACCAGTGGTGGTTGGCAACCTCACTTTTACTACACTGTTGCAACGAAAGCAACTGGTCTCACAAAACCTTCTTAGAGTGCCGAGTCTTATTATGTTTTTCTGTGGGTGCGCAGATGGCGACTACTGGATGGCATAAGTTCTGTATCAAAAACTAGAGCTGATGTGGTCTATCTACTGCAATTTTCTGAATAGGCACCCCAACCAAATCGAATCTAAAGTTGACCAAAAACTGATTTGTAACCCTTTTGGTACTGGTGTTGGAGAGTGGTCCCTGGTCAATTGGTCTCTGGTAAAAAAGAAAAGGCTGAAAACCACTGGATTAGAGTGATATATAATTCAGTATGACCCTCTTATCCAAAGGAATACATATACACAAAACTACAGATAATATTGAACCCTATTGAAATGAAGAATCTCTGGTCCAAAATGGCATCAAAAACCTGGACTTAGAAAATGTCTATAGAGAGGACATATTTTGTTGCCCATTAATAACTAAAACCGTGAATACAGATATCTTAATTGTATTTTGAAGATAACAATGTATGTCCCCTTTCTACAAGAATATGCTGTGAAATGTCATAGAGCTGACTTTGAGTATATTTGCTAGAGAATCATGGCAAAATTTGATTTAATTTCAAGCAAATCTTTTGTTTTTGTAGAAAATATCTGCAGTTCTCACTGTGATAAAATTTACTCCTTGCATCTTATTGAAACAACTATAAACTTAAAATATTGATTGTGTGTAATTTACCTGATAGTTGAAACTTCTGGCTATATATTAGGAACATAAAGTTTTAAAAAAATCCAGATAGTAGTAAAAATGCTGCAAATAATCTATCTGATAGCCATGAATTTCAAGCTGATTACTCACTTCCAGTATAAATGGGACATTAATCTCTGGATCTTGCATTTTCAGTACTTGCTATCTCCATAGACTGCAATTACTGAAATATTCAGAGTTGCTGTTGAAAGCCACTACACATTTGTCTTTGATTATATCTTGGTGCCAAAATGCATCTATCAACAGAGCCAGCATTATAACTCTAACTCAGCCATTCAATCAGAAGATGTTGGTACATATTGCTTGGCCAGAACTCTAGCTTGCAGAATTTACTGCAAAGAAAACGGAATAAATCTGAATTACTTGGCATGTGCTTATTTGTATTATCCCTGCTACCAGTAATTTGGATCTCCAGCATGTTGTCACCACTCTTCTGCTTTAGCTGAATCAAATCACAGCATGGACTAGCACAGGTTTCCATTTGCAAAGCCTTTCTGCCTGAGATTTTTTTCACAACCCCTTTCCACTTGTGATATCCAAGGTATATATCTTTATAAAATAAGTATAAAAACCTTTCAGCAAGCATGTGTAAGTCTTGCTGAACTGCTGATTTTCCTTTTTATGAAGTATAGCTGAAGCATTTTCTGCAGAATTCACTGTTATTGCAAACAGGTTGGTTTAAATGTCTAGGTGACATTCAGAAACCTTTAATTGTTGCCAAAATGTTTATTTATTTATTTATTATTTCTCGCACTTCTACCCCGCCCTTCTCAACCCCTGAAGGGGGACTCCAATACTGAGCTAAGGGGATCCCATTTGGGGTCAGGATTTACAGTTTAAGAAGTGGTGGACTAGCAAATGCCTGCACTAGAGGACCACTACTGCTCTATCAATCTCTAGAAAACCCTGTAGAATAATGGTGGAAATGATCATATGTCAGTGGGGTGGTGAATCCATTCTGTGTTTTGGCTTTTGGAATCATGGTAATAGAACTAAATGCTCTGACATTGCTCTGAGGATGCAGTCTAGAACTGTTTTAAGGGTTAATAGTGCTGCTTACTCACAGAATAATATGTGGAAATAACGACAAATGAATGATAAAAAAAGTTCCTTGGTATTTTGAAGGGATGGGCATTTGAGAGAAAAATGCAGCTAATGATCCACTATAAAGGTATTTGCAGCTGTGGATGTACCTCTCCCTAATACCAACATTAATCTGTATTTTCATGCAGCTTTGCAATTTATTCATTTTCACTCTCTTTCCTGGCCACAAAAAAGCAACACATCTGAAATATGTTTGATGGTGCTTTCCAGTTAACATTCTGCATTTTAATTGACGGTTTGTTGGTTGGTTTTTGGCTCCACAGTGTCAGACAATGGTCATACAATTTTACCAACATTTGTTTGTAAATGCACGATTGAAGCTAAAATAACTGGCCATCAGATTACACATCTGTTGCATTAGCTATGGTAGTCTTTTTAAAGGTTTATTTTAGTCTGGCTCAGTAGGCTTCACTAAAATTTCACAGAACCTCTAACCAGAGGACTTCCACTATGCTGCCGTTTATCTTTTCCTAATAAAAGGAATTTCTTAAAAAGAACAAGAAGTACTGTACATTCAGGTAATTCATTTGATTTGATTAGCTTGATGAATGCTGCATACGTACAAGGAAATAACGGGTTTTCAGCAACTGCCTTAATTGTGTTGTATATTTCAATGAAATATAGTTTTCAAAATGCATACCTGAAATTCTGTGCCATGAATTAAAGCTGGCTTTATGTGCAGTTGGAATATTTTTAGTATTACAGCAATTGGATAAAAAATATTTTTAAATAAAAAAACAGTTAGCCACTTATTATCACAGCCCCCCCCCCCCCAATTATCTTAAAGCAATAGTCTAAATATATATAAGCCTCTCTAGAATTTGATTTTAAGTCCTCTTTATCTGGTAAGGAACATAAAATGGAAAACACTGTTCATTGTCTATAGGGACACTAATTTGACTTTACATGGGAGAAGACAAAACTTGCCCTATGTAACTTAAAGCCTAGGAGACCTTATTCAGAAAGTGTCTCAGGACCCTTCCACATAGCCCTATATCCCAGAATATCAAGGCAGGAAATCCCACATTATTTGAGTGTGGACTCAGATAACCCAATTCAAAGCAGATATTTTGGGACTTTCTGCCTTGATTTTCTGGGATATAGGGCTGTGTGGAATAAACAAACAAACAAACTTTATATATGTCGCTCTATCTCTCCGAGGGGAACTCAGAGCGGTTTCCAAGTAACATCACCAAAACATACAGAATAAACAGCGTGACATAAAATTAACAAAACAACGTAAGCATGAAATTATCACAATAACACATATATATTAAAAATAATCCTTCCTGTTCAGAGCAATTAAAAGGCCCTTAGGCTGCATTAGGTTTTAAAGATAAACAACTAATTTAAAATTTGCCTCTGAAACATAAAAACAGCCAATGTTCCTTCCAAGGGCCCTTCCACACAGCCATATAACCCAGAACATCAAGGCTGAAAATACCACAACATCTGCTTTGAACTGGGTTATCTGAGTCTATACTGCCATATATTCCAGTTCAAAGCACAAAATGTGGGATTTTATTCAACTATGTGGAGAAGACCCCAGTGTGATATGATATTTTAAAAGTTCCAGAAGTTTTTACTTCCCTTGCTTTTCAGACCATTTGAGGTTAGAAATTTGTGACTTTTATTGGTGCATTTATAACTAGTAGAACAATAATTGTGGATTAAAAGCAATGTGTATTAAGAATATACATTATTTCCTTGATTTGGTTTTTATTATTTTATTCTCTTTTTTTTAGATAGTGATTTCCCGTTCAGAACGCAGAACACCACATGTGAACTTTCACCTGGATTTCCAACCTGTTTCTCCAGAGGTTATAATTGAGAATTTACCAGGCAATGATGGTTATATGCTGGTGATCACTGGAAATAGGGTAAATATTTCCTAATATATCATGATTTTGGTAATGTACACTTTTAGAGATTTCCTCTGAGTACTGACCATTTTACAATAATTAGTTTGGGTGCATCTCTGAACATTTGATTTTCTTCATTCACACAGGTAAGAGTGAAGTCGGGTCACTATTCCCCTGTTTTATAGGTGGAAAAGGGGGCCTAAAACTGTTTGGCAGTTGCTAATTTAACAGCAGGTTTTTCAGAGGCTGTATTCTGAGAAATTTAAAGAAGAGGTTCAAACTTTTTCATTTGAATTTAGTTGCTAAAACACAAAAAAATGATTGCAAGTGTAACTTGTAGAAATGGCCCAATACTTTTTACACTACTCCATGACTAAATTATATGGTTCAACTTAATAGACACTCTCTAATTTTAAATACTGTATTTCTTCCATTCTAAGATGCACTTTTTCCTATACTGTATAAACATCTCTAAATATGGGGTAAATCACAGGTGTATATTTGTTGTTGTTGTTGATGGTGGTGGTAATAAAAACCTTAGAATCATTGGTGTCTTACCACTGAAGAATGATAGTACCTTTTTTGGATACCTTTCCAGACTCTTGTATCTATTGTTTGTTTCCTTTTAAAAAAACACAACTCAGTTTTGTTCTGTGGTTTGTTTTGTTTTTCCTCTAAGGAAGTAAGTAAATGAATATTGGGAATTGTTTGAACAAGAGAGCTGTTATGAATCAGCAAAAGAGAGGAAATGCAAATATAAGCCTGACACCTTTTCTTTTCTTTTTTTCCAGTGTAAGCTATTGGGAACAAATCTGAACAATGCATTAAATGAAAGAATGGTGTTTAGCATTTCCTTGCCTTTGTTGGTTTGTGCTCGGCTTAAATAGTATTATGTCTGGTGCTTTAAAAGGGAGATTAAAATGATGCAAAGAGTTGTCTTGTCAATTGTTTTGCCGCACTCTTTTAGGAACATAATAGACATCAACTAATTGATGATCACCCTCAATCCCTGTGTAATAAATACATACAGATTTTTTCATATAGGACATTGATTCTAGTGGTTCAATTTGAATCCCAATAGTTCAGTCTCCACATGCAGTGAGTTCAGTGTGTTGTTCCCTCTACACACTGGTTCCATATTTCCAGAAATTAGGAAGTCAAAGCACCCAACAGCTCCTTTGGCTTCCAATAAGTTTCAGGTCCAAATACAAAGTGCAGGTATTCTTATGAACTGGGACAACTAAAGGTAATCTTCCTCAAACCAAAGCCAGGAGTGATTTCATCTACCTTATATATATCTCCTAACGTTTGTGTGATATAAGAAAAACATTAATGTCTGCATTAAAATTAACCCAATTAAAACCTCAAATATTAAAACATCAGTTAAAATCAGTTGTTTATTTACCGATATGTATATACGGTATTGAATTTTGCCTTTGTGAGGCCGCCCTGATTCCCTTTCGGGATGAGAAGAGCGGGTTACAAGTGTGGTAAATAATTAATTAATGCATAAATATTTGTGCCATTAGATAACCAAGATCCCACTAAATGGACCAGGATGCTCTCACTTCAGTACCTGCAGTCAGTGTCTTCTGTCACCTTCCTTCATGAACTGTGGCTGGTGTGGAAATCAGTGTACATACTCTTGGGAGTGCAGCGGTGGAGGATGGACACAGGAAACATGCTCACCCCAGATCTCTGAGGTATGGTATTCCTCTTTTGTGCTTTGAATGAATGCCTTTCAGATCAATATTTTTACTATTTCTAAATAAAGCTTTGTGCTGGTTTAGCAAATTTGGGCAAACATCCATTTGTTGCTTGGAGGGACACTTGCCAGAAGAGAAGCAGAGTGGTGTAGGTGACAGCTGGAAAGAGACCTGTACTGGGAGGCAAAAACCCGTGAAACGGCGAGTCCACAAAAGCAAACCTCGAATTAGTGAGGGAACACTGTATTGGAAAATACGAAATTGAGTGTACTCTGTGTGCATGTATCTGGAGGTGTTACCTCTGCATTTTCTGAAGGAAAAAGTTTATGTGGCCTTCCCCGAAGCACTTTGTGTGTCAATGTGTGTATCTCTTTCCATTTTCTGAGTTTGGGTGCCTTCCCTGTTGGAACTTCTGTTAGCCGCACAACTAAAGTAAATAAAGGAGTATAGGGAAGGCCTTTTGCAAATTTCACCTGAATAGGTTTCATCAATCCTAGAATCCAGAAAACTGGCTGCAGGGCTTTCTATCTTTGGACTTGCAATTTGGCATGCAACCAAATCTTTTTCACTTCAGAATTCTCACCATGGAATGAGCTGCTTGTTCTTGGTTACAAGAATCCTTAAGAGAAACTTGTGTTCTTCTCTATATTGTAAGCCTTTAAAAATTCTTTTAAAACCTTGATATTGATGGGAGTAAAATGCACTCCTTTGGCTCGGTTAAGTCCCTTTCCCCCATGGGAACTCTGACAGAGCTGTCAGTTTTGATGATGTGTTTGGATGGAGTATCTTTTTTAGAAAATGTTTCTCTCTCCTTTGTTGTTGCCCAGTAAAAAAGGGTTTTCAAAGACTAGCTAGATCCTCAGGAAAAGGGACAACCAGAAACTGGTTTCAGCTTGGGGGGGGGGGGGGGGGGGGGGGGGGGGGGGGTATCATGCATATAAAAAGAATAAGCAAGAGCAAAATTACCCAAATGAGAAAATGAGCTTAGTTGTCCATTGCTGTTTTCATTTAGTTATGGTCATTGCAAGATTTTGATAGGCTGCCTTTGCTTTTAACCAAGTCATTTTGCATTAAGTGTGACATTATTCTGAAGGTCTAGTTTTACAGAGTAACCATGGCTCTTCTAATCCCTTTAGTACATGCACCAACCACTTATACTATGGATGTATTTGCAATGTTATTGTTTTGAAACAGCCAAATGTGTGAATAGGATATGTAAACAGGACATGTGAAATAGAACATATAAAACTGCATCCAGAGCAAACCTAATGGAGATAATAAATGTCTTATATTTGCTACTGATAGAAGAATGGTAAGCAGTAATTAAGTGAAATGGGAAAGGCCCAAAGTAACAGGACACAACAGGATAATGACAAATATATCTTTTGTAACAGGTTATAACGCAGTTGTGAATTAAGGAAATATGAGTGAATAATCCACCCACTGCCGTGTACCTTACAGTCACATACAGATGGGAAATTTGTTGTTTTTTTAAAAAAAACAAGGGACATTTACATTCACTTTAAGCCACAGCTTAAATGGAGTAGAAGACAAGTCCTAAATAACTTTTAAATTATGAAGTCTGATTCATAGTTACATTAGGCTTTTTTGTAATCCACATAGTGTAAAAGGGCCTTGAAGTGAATGTAAATCATATTTAAAACTACATTAAGGCCCCTTACCCCTGCCAGGGGACTAGAAAGAGGCCATAATATGGATGAGATGTCATGTTAAGATTTTGTGAGGTTAGCTTGAAATTACTCAGTTCCATCCTGCATCATTTCTTCCTTTTTAAATATTATTTATTTATTTATTTACTCTATTTATATCCTGCCTTTCTCTACCCCGAAGTGGACCCAAGGCAGCTTTACATATAATAAAATGTACATCTGTGTTTTTACCTGCATAAACTAATTTTAAAGACTGGGTAAAGCACTCACACATAATTTTTTAAAAAACAGTCAGTTCCTTAAATGAGACTCAGTAAACATCATTCTTGTACTTAGGAGTGTTTTGTGTGAAGTTCATAAAAGGAAAAAAAATGATTTCTCAGAGTGCAGTTGGATTGATTTAAACCCTGAGATCATTTGCTCAATATGCTACTTTAAAATTGCAATAAATATTATTCCCTGGCAGTGATAAATTGCGAAATGTTTTAATAGTATGCACCACATCATGTGCAACTTTGTGAAACCTGCTTCTGAAACGAAAGAAAATAATGCAGCTGAGTACCTAGCTCTTTATGGTTGCAAGCTGCTAAGGCAGATTTCACGCTTTGCTGGACCATGACAGTTGGCATTACCGCTAAAAAATAAAAAAAAGATTATTCAACTTTTGTCTGTTGGTTTAAACTCATGCACATTAAATTTAGCAGAGATACGGAGGCTTGGTGGATTCCCCACCCCACCTTTTGAGGGGGGGGGGTATAATAACCTCCTTTATGTGGCATTTGCAATAGAAACTGAAAATCCTTTAATATTTTAAAGCTTGGCTAGAATTATGATTAAAATGTGTTTAAATACCTTGGTGCTAATGTAAGTGGTCATAGCCAAGGTTGGAGTTGGTGATAATGTTCCTTTTTCGCCTTTAGTATGATAAAGCTTCCATTATTCTGTACTATTTTGGTGCCCAGTCACATGATTATTCTACAAATGACAGGTTTGCTTTTGTTCCCATTCTGACTTTTAGCCTACATTTTAGCCTACATGTCCTATATTTAGGCATCTATGATACAGGGCACAAATAAAACCCACATACATGATCTGACACATGTTCATTTGACTCCTCTTAGTCCAACTGGAGTTGTCCCATTGATTCAGTAGGATTTACGCATTTTTGAGACAGTACCTTTATTCCAGGAGCTCTTGCAGCAAAGAGGAGGGTGGTCAAACACCATTCCCTCAAAACACTGAAGCAATTGCTACAAACAGCAAAAAACGTGAAATTTTCACATTCAGGAATATCCCCATTCCAAGTTGAAAATCTGCATCTTTGAATGTCTGTATGTCCCTGCACTCAGAAATCGCGGGATTTTTTATCTGAGTTTGTTCCTGGGTTTTAGATGTTTGTTCCTGATTGCAAAAAGAAAATGACAGTTGAGTAGAACCCAAAAACTTTTTCCTGGGACGAGGAACTTGGTTTTTCACCTGTTTAATGAAGTTTCTAGCAGAAAAACGAAGTTCCTGGGGTGCAACAAGTATTTTCACAGTAAGTAGTACACAATGAAACAGGCACAGACACATTCAAACGAGGAATAGAATGCCATTATGACTGTAATTATTCAAACCTTGTATGACCATCTGTCCAGACAGGTTTTGTGGTGTACTTGTGCCAGAGAAAAACAGAGTGAAGTTCCCGGGTAATATATGTTGGTTTCTCACCGGATCTATGCTAATAATGTGGGGAAATTTTAGTAAATGGCAAAAACGTACTACTATCTGGAGAGACATTGAAGTGGTGGAGAGGAATGTAAATGCTGAGAGCCAAAGTCATGCAGGTGGCTAATAGGAGCAGACATGTATAACCTAAGAACATCATCCTGTTCTTTTATACGACAAGTAGACCGCTAAACCCATCTAGACAGATGGCCAGGCATGCTCTAAAAAGTTATGTTCCTGACTTGAAAGTGTGTATTCTTGTTTCATTGTGTAGTACTGACTTGGACAGAAGTGGTCTGACCCCATTAACGTTGTTTGTGTGGCAGAAACTTCATGATACGTGTGGAGGGCACATTTTCTCTAGACAGAACAAAGTTGTGGCCCCCTAGTCAATGCTGCACATCTTTTCACAATAAGAGCAGTCAGGAACAGACATGTATAACCCAGGAACAGCAATATTTGTTCCATGCCACAACTATACCACTAAACCCATCTGCACAGATGGCCGGGCATGCTCTAAAAAGTGTCAATAATGACAAAGTTCTGTTCATGGCTTGAAATTGTTTGTTCCTGTTTGATAGTGTAGAGTTGACTTGGACAGAAGTGGTGCTACCCCATTAATTTTGTTTTGTGTCAAAAACTTCATGAAACACCTGGATCGCAAAGTTTCTATAGCCATGGAATGGAAATTTTGTGAGATACACATCTTCACATATTCGCATCTTCAATTTTTTGTTTTAAAAAAAGCCGCCAAACTTTCCAGTAGAAATCCTGAGGTGGCCATCTTGGGGGCTTCAAAATCCTGGGACAAAGCATCTAGCGTGGACAATGGAGGCAGAAATCCCAGGACCAATAGGTCTGTATCAGGACATGTTCTGAAGTCCCAGGATTTTTTTCTCCTGATTAAAACCCGCTATTTAGTACTCTCTGGAACCACCCTCAATAGTTATTTCAATGGACTTGATCGATTTAAAATGAATACATGGGATTTAGGTCATTGTCTGGCAGTTATAAGATTGTCTCAGCCTATAGATCCTCATTCTACATGAGTTGACATATAAACTATAGCAATCATTTTAGGCTAGCTCTATGATTTATCCTGTAAAAAGCAGCCAAGAAGTATAAAAGTGGGTGTCAGGGTTTGTATCCTTTGTTTTACACCAGTGTTTCTCAACATATATTTCTGATGGTCTTAGAAACCCCATTGACAGAAAAGGCTGAAGATCTCTCCGACTGTCCTTCTGTTCCTTTTTGGACACAGACGGTGAATCCTTCCACCAAAAGCCCTCCTCTGCTATGATTGGCCAGCCTCTCAGCCAAGGGAAGGACTGTTTCTCAGAGTCCAAGCGGGGAGAGGAGAGCAAGCGTGTGCAACGCATGGCAGTGTGGTGTGCATGTGCGGATGAAGGAGAATGTATGAGTTTGGAGGGAGGTTCATGCTAGCGAGTCCCTTCAAGGCAGAGAGGTTCTGTGTGAGAAGTTTGGCCGAATTTTATCATTGGTGAGGTTCAGAATGCTCTTTTATTGTAGATGAACTATACATTCAATCAATTACAACTCTCAAATGTCAAGGTCTATTTTCCCCAAACTCCACCAGTTTTCACATTTGGGCATATTGAG